TACAGAAGGCTCTGGGAGAAACCCCGGGTGGGAGGTTCGGACAGGCGTGGGGCTCCGGCTACAGAAAAGGTCAGAGCTGAGTGCCAGGGCTGGAGGGTGCCCAGGGGGGCAGGGGACTGCACACAGCCAAGGCCGTTCCAGGCGCCCACTGACGTCAGTCCCTCAAGGCAGCCCGAGGCGGAACTGCTGCTGCACGTCCTACCTCCGGCAGATCAGTCGAACAGACCTCCCGGGGACAAGGGCAGAGCGCGGGCTGGCAGCTCCCCAGAGCAGATCAGAGCACAGGGACAAGGGCAGAGCGCGGGCTGGCAGCTCCCCAGAGCAGATCAGAGCACAGGGACAAGGGCAGAGCGCGGGCTGGCAGCTCCCCAGAGCAGATCAGAGCACAGGGACCTTGGCGTGCCTGCTCTGTCAACCTTCAAAGAGCAGGGCTGATAACGAGGCCTTGCTGTCACCGGTCTTGTCAGGACCTGTCAACTGCCTTGTCCTTGGTGGCCAGATGGGGCTGGGATCTTGGGGCTGAGTGGAAAAAAGACTTGGGAACCGCACTGGGGCCAGGTCAGGGCCAGGACCAGCCCCTGCCCGAGGGGCACAGGTCTCTTGGTCCCCTGGCATGGTGAGGAGTGACACAGCCTGCCTTTCAGGGTGGCAGTAAGGACCAGTGACCAGGCCGGCCAGCCCCCAGCACCGTGCTGGTCCCCAGCTCGGAGACTACCAATTTGGCCTGGTCACGGCCCACCATGCAGGCTCGCCCCTCCACGCTCCCCGTGCCCAGCCCTACCCCCAACTCAGGCCTCAGCCCTCAGGGCAGGGGGCAGATAGGAAAAGCAGGGAGGCCCCGGGGCTGGGGGTCTGCCCCTAAAGTGATGTGGGAGGGGGATGAGCAGGAGGATCTGGGGGTGGGCACATGTGGACAGCAGCCTGGGGTCTAATGTAGCCCTTGGCTTCCTGCCTCAGATGAGCTCCCTGAGGAGGGGCAGCTTGGGAGGAATAGGGGGCCGCCCCCAGCACTGCGGCGGCTGTGCGTGTGTCACATGTGTGGATCTCTCTGGAGCCCCGGCAGGGCCTTTGGATGACTGTGCAAATGGGAGACCTGCTCATCTCGGGAACTCCCACCCAGACCTGGCTCGGTCCCACAGCCTCCGTCCCCAGCCCTGCGTGTTGGACGTGCCCAGGCCGAGCCCCAGGAACGCCAAGGGACCTATCAGGGCCCTCACCAACCAGCCCCATGCAGCCTGGGGTGGATTCCCCTGTAGGGGCCTTCCCAGGCTCACCTCCTTGCTGGAAGCAGCTTCCCTCCCAGCCTGAAATCCCCAGGCCCCGTGTGGCCTCCTCCCGGGCTTTCCCCGCTGGCCACTGACCACACTGCAGGCCACAGATGCGGGGGTCCAGAGCACGGCCGACGAGGCTGGGGGGAGCCAGACCAGACCAGCCACGGGGATTCAAATCCTTTATTGACAGAGGAGGTGAGGCCAGCCCTCCCTGGCAGGCTCTGGGTGCATCCTCCTAGTATGTTCTGCTGCGAGCCGGGCACCGGGGCAGGCGTGGGGGCAGTGAGTAGCCTAGGACTCGGACTCAAACATCTTCTTCCGGCCCTCCATGCCAGACTTCTCCTCGATGTTCTTCCTCCAGTCACCCACGTCTCGCAGGTCCCGCTCCTGTGGAGGGGAAGGCAGGAGAGAGCTCAGGCCCACCCACTTATGCGTGCACCCTGGTCCACACCACCTTCAGCTTCAGTTTACCCTCTGCTTTGGGCAGTGGAGTGTCGCCTGCATGGCACCCTGGAGGGGCAGTGGTGCAGGGCTCCTGGCAGGGCAGGTGTGGGAGGTGCTCCCCAGGGACAGGGCAGGTGTGGGAGGTGCTCCCCTGGCAGGGCAGGTGTGGTGGTGCTCCCCCCGCGGCACATACCTTCTCTGTGTCCTCCTTCTTGACCTGCTTCAGGTTGGCCCTCAGGTCCATGCACACCTTGTGCTTGGAGCCCAGCAGGGCCTTGAGCATGGCGTCGGCCGACATGCGCACCCTCCGCAGCGGGGGCCGCTTGAACTTGCCCCGCAGATCAAACAGCTTCTGGTTCATGTCCTCCAGCTGTGGGCAGGAGAGCCAGGTGGAAGCCTGAGGTCCTGGTGGCCTCGGCCTCCCTGGCCCGCCCACTTGCCCGCTGAGCCACTGCCTGCCCACCTGCTGCCCGCCTGCGCCCACCACTCACCTCCTTGCTGCTCTTCTGCACCCTCACCTCCATGTCATACTTCTCCTCTTCAGCCGCGTCGATCTTGGCGTGCAGCTGTTTGCAGAGCTCCTAGGGGCGGGTGTGGGGGCGGGTGACCATCTTGACACTTGGCAGCCATGGTCACCTGCCCCTGCCCTGACCACCCCGCTGGCCCTCTTGACAAAAGTGGGGAAACTGAGGTAGCAGGCAGGCCTGCAGCTGGGGAGGCGAGGCGGCCGGGGAGGGGTCAGTACCTGCACTTCTGACATGGAGCCCGGGATGTGCAGTGGCGGGCAATGCTCTGACAGGTAGTTCTGCTTCTCGGCCTCGCGGCGGCTCTCCTCCTTCTCCAGCTCTGTGGCCGCTATCTGCAGCATCACGCTCTGTGGCGGGGCAGGCGGTGAGGGGGCTGCAGCTGGCCCCCCTGCAGACCCACCTGGGCGGCCCCCGGGGAGCCCACACCTACCTTCAGGTGCTGCCTGCGGGCCGTGATGGCCCTGTTCCGCTTCTGCAGGGCAGGGGACAGGGGGCTGAGTCAGGGCCTCCAGGCCTGGAGCACCCCCACCCCTCTCCAGGCTCCCTGGCCAGGTCAGGGGCTCCGGCTCAGGGACCAGCGGAGCCTGGGAGCTCCCGAGGCCATGATGGGCAGTCTGGGCCTCAATGGCCCCAGACCTTGCTCTGGGACACGCTGTGTGGTGTGTGACACTTTGCCCAGGTGGCGCATGGTGCTGAGAGGCCGGAGGTTGGGGGAGAGGAGGCCTCAAGGCCAGTTGGGGGCAGGTCGGCCGGCGAGGTAGGGGCAGGAAGTGCAGGAATCAGAAAGAAGAAGTGATTCCCCTGTGACCAGGCCACAGCCGCACTTCCCCTGCCCCAGAAGGCTCGGGGCAGCCACTTCCTCTCTTTCGGCTACGTCTTGGTGGGTGGGTGGGGCACTTTTGCCAGCGGGGAGGGCCGGGCCATCTTCCCTGGGCCTTAGGGCCTTGAGGCTGTGACCGATGACCTATCCTGAGTTGGGGGAGCTCCCTCCTCGTCCTGTTTTGAGCCCCCAGCAAGTACTTACCTCCTCACTGTCCAGGGAGAGAGGACGCAGGCAGGACGGGGAGAGAAGACAGAGGTTAGGGCCATGTCTGGCGGGGTCGGAGCGTGTGATGGGGTGGACAAGGCAGGAGGTGGGCAGGGTCACTGTATGGGGGTACAGGGGTGCTACTTACTCTCCCATCCTGAGGTCCTGAGCTTGGAGCCTGTGGGGAGAGGAAGGCAGGGGTGTTGGCCGGGCCCTTGCCGCCACGATGCCTGTGACCATCAGGTGGTGAGGGGTTCAGGCCTCCCGATGACAGCCCCTCCCTCCCACCCCCTACTCTCACCTCCTTCAAGGACAATGTCTTGGAATTCCCCAGGGTGAGAAGTAAGAGGAGAAAGTGTTCCCAAAATGTCCCAGGCATAGCCTGAGGAGCTGCAGCTGTCCCCGAGGGAGGGCGGGATGGGCCAGCACAGGTGGCCTCCTCAGTGACGCTGTTATTTTTAACCCTCTGTCTTTGGCTTTGGGCCTAAGTGCGTGGAAGAAATCGCTCCTCAGTTTGGCCTGGGGGTTCAGGTTCTGGGGTTTCTTGACCCCTAAACTCTCCTTCCAGGGTCCCCAGAGATGAAGCCTGGTGGTCAGGGCCTGTCTAGAACCTGCCTCGCACTAGAGCTGCCTCCCCAAGCCTCTCCTTCTCACTCCCGGATCCGTGCAGGCCCCCAAAGAGGGCTGCTGGCGGGATCCCCCAGGCCCCCAGACCCCTGCCCCAGGGAGTCCTCCCTCAACTAGCTCGAGCCACATCCTGTGCCCTGGCCTTGGTGGGCCGGGCTGGGCCTCACCTAGAATCTGGGCAGCAGGGCTGGGAGCGAGGTCAGGCCGGCAGCAGTGAGTTGGGCTGGTGGGCCCAGGGGGAGGGGTATAAATGGCCTCCCCCAGGCTGGGCCCCTGCTCAGAAAGGGCATGGAGTCCTCCTCAGACCAATGGGGGCGCGGAGATCCGCAGAGACCTCCCCACCTGTCCGGCCGCCTGGCCTGGCCGCGTGCTGCCGCCCAGTCCAAGAAGTCTTGGTGGGGGATGCCATGGCTGGGCTGCTCTATTTAGGGCTTGGTGACGTGCTGGAGATGCCTCTGTTGTTCTTGTAAGGAGCCTGAGGACAGTGTGCCTGGCTTTGCCTGTGGCCTCGGCCGGGCACACGGCTTGGGTCAGCTGAGGGGTCACTGCGAGGATCCACACCTCGCCTCAGCCCATCTCGCCCGAGGTCAGCGTCCAGCCCACCGACCTGGCTGCTTGCTGGGTGACAGCCACAGCCTCTCCCTGCTGGGCCAGCTTCCCCACTCAGCCCCTGCAACGGGCCGTTTCCCACTTCAGCCCAGGCCTGACCCCCTTCGGCAAGCCTGGCTCCTGGGGTGAGGCCTGGACTCCCAGACGTGGCCTTCCAGGCTCCGCCACGTCGGCCGAGGGCTGGCGGGCTGCCCCCTCCTTGCGTGATGCTATCTCCCTGCCTGGGGAGCAGGACTAGGAGTGAGGGGCACGCCGCATGTGCCTCTGGGCCCCTCCCAGCCTTCCTGGAACTGTCCCCTCGCCGGGTGACTTGGAACACATCCTTCAACCTAAGGAGAGTGGCACCACCTGCCTTGGGAGCCTCTCTGACCTGCGGGGGCTTGGGGCCCGCCTGGCTGCCCGGGCAGGCCTGGCATTGCCTTCTCACTCAGACCCTGAGGCGGCCCTCACCCCCCCAGCCCCCAGGCCCCCGCCCTGCAGAGGCCCCCTGGACCGTGACTTGGCACCCTCTCGGAGTGGGGGCTCTTGGCCCCAGCCCTGCCGGCTTCGCAGCCCCATGAGGAGGATCAGAGGAAACAGCAGCGTGGAGGCTCCAGCCGCTAAGGCAGCCCAGATGTGTGGGGCCTGGGAGGGGCATCCGGCCAGGACTGAGCCCCTAAAGGCCCCAGCAACTTCCGAAGGCATCTGCTGCCCCCTGCTGCTCATGCGGGGAAGGCCCTGCAGTGCTGGTCTCTGAGGTGCTGGGGGTCCTCCCTCCACGCTCACCGGCCCCCAAACACCACTGCCCACTGTGTCCCTACAGGGCTGGCTCTAGCTCGCCCCATCCCATGTGGTCCCGACTCTCTGGCCCCCACCTCCCAGGTCTTCCCACGTGGCCCGGGGGTGGGGATCGGTGCTCGTGGGCAGGTTTCCCACCCCTACTGGAGGGTCCAGCAGGGACCAGTCAGAGGCCTCAGGGCCTGGCTGACTCTGGAGAGGAGCCCCTCCCCTGTCATTGTGGGGGGCCCTGGTGAGTGGAGCCGGGCCCTGGCGCGTGTACCCAGGCCCTGTTTCTGCATCCCCTCCAGGCTACAGCCGCACACACAGTGGCAGGAGAAGGCGTTTATTGCAGTGGTCCTGCAGGGCAGCCTGGGCAAGTGCCTGGGCTCAGCGGGGAGACCGAGGCACGCGGCGCGTTCAGGAATGGGGCAAGGGCAGGTGCAGGCGCAGGCGGGGCTGCAGGGCCAGCACGCGGTCCACCTCCCTGGCTGGCTGCAGGGGGTGCCACTGGGCAATGGGCCGCCGGGCGTGGGCCAGCATGTCTGCCCAGTGTTGCAGGGGCTGCCCCGAGGCCCGGGCACCCAGGTGCACCTTGCCCACGGGCTCAGCCCGGAGCGGCAGGCCGCGGTCCCAGACGGCCAGCACCAGGTCCACATTCTGTGCAGAGACAGGGCATGTGTCGGAGTTGGAGGAGAAAGACTGTGGTCGTCGTGGTCCGGCACTGGGTCCCGCTCTGCCCCTGCCTCCCGGAGACCCACCTGGACCTGACTGAAGGGCACCAGGAAGGTGAAGGCCTCGTTGAAGTAGGGGGCAGCCGTGCCCTTTCTGGTGGCTGTCTTTCTCTTCTTCCACTTCCTCTGGTTCAGCATGAGCTGGACCTTCACGTAGGGCTCTGGGAGGGTAAGAGGTGCCAAAGGGGCATCCCAGGGCTCAGGGCCGAGCACAAGCGCCCGCTCTGTACACCAGCATGGGCAGGTGTGACCCTCACCTGCCAGTCCTGGACGCAGGCCTCGAGCCTCCAGCACCACCACGGTCAGCCGGCCTGAGCTGGGCACGTACCGGAGAGAGAAGCACAGCTCTCCCACCTGCTCGGGCTGCGGGCAGCAAGAGGGGCTTCAGCCCGGGAGGGTGATTCTGGCCGAGTTGGGGTTCAGGCTCCCGCAGCTGCTGCCCACCAGGCCTCAGGGCCCTGCCAGCTCTGCCTTGGGCTGTGACCTGGTGATCAGCGCCTCACCTCAGTGGCAGCCGGCGGACCCAGCGGGTACCAGTGCTCCAGAACGTGCTGTAGATCCACGGTGCCCAGTGGCAGGCGGAGCTCACCCAGGGGCTCATGCCCCGAGAAGCGCTTGAAGTTGAAAAGCTGCACCTGCAGGGTGGTCCCCGGCAGCTCCGCCTGCGGGATCTGAGGCAGCGGCGTGAGCCAGGCCCTGCTGCCCCAGCCCAGGCCCACCCAGCTGTCCAGGCGCACCCAGCCGACCATCCCTGACTCACGTGGAAGCAGCAGGTCTCGTCAAACACAGGGCAGAGCGTGCCTCGGTGCACCTTTGTCTCGTGTCTGTGCCCGGACTGGGTGGAGACGCTGACCCGCGCATAGGGGTCCATGGTGCCCCCGGGCCTCAGGTCGGCTGCCTGCCTCAGGCCCACCCTGATCTGGGAGCCAGGGGGGTGGGCTCAGCCAAGGGCCCCTGCCCTGTCAGCTCCCCACCACCCAGGGCACAGGATTTGCACTCCACCCATCACCCCTTCCGGAAACTCGCAGAACCGCTGGTCCCGCACAGCAAGGTCCTTCACCTCCTGGCTTCCAAAGTCGTACTCCAGGGACAGCTGCAGGCGCCCCCATTGCTGAGCGTCCCCCAGACTGGACTCCAGGCTATCCACATCAGGCTGCACCTGGAGTGAGTCGGGACAAGGGGCAGGTGGTGCTGGCATCATGCCCCATCAGAGCCCTGGGCTCCCGGGCAGCACTACATGACAGGCCAGGCCACCTGACAGGCACAAACCCTCGGCTTCGCTGTGTGCTGTGTGAGACCGGCCAAACCCACCTCAAACGTGGGGTCTGTGGTATCCCTTGCCTTCCTCAAGAACCCGCTGTGGCTCCCCTGGGCCCATGGAGCAGCCCCTGTTGTGTGACCTCCTCCTCACCTCTGTTCACCCACTTTCCCTGCCAGGAAGGCCCTCGCCGCCCCTGCCTCTGTGGGGGCTAAACCGTCCCTGGGGCTGAACTCGCCTCGCCGCCCTGGGCTCTGGAACCTGGATTTCGAGCTCTCTCTGGACTGAGCGAGAAGGAGCCACTCCTCACCAGGTGGGGGGTGGTGGTGCCACGGGCACTGCCCAGACCCACCGCCTCCTTGTCCCTGGGCTTCTTCCTGTGGCGGCGGCAGCAGCAGCAGGCAGCACAGAGGAGGCAGGAGACGACGAGGACGCCCGCGGCAAGGGCGCCTGCAATGACAGCCCAGCGGGGCCCTGGGGTAGAGGCCGGGCTGAGTGCACCTGTGGACAGCTGCAGCCCCCACTTGGCTGGGTTATCCCCACACCCCTCTTGGGAGCCCCACAACTCACAGGGGGTCCCGGCGATGAGGTCTGGAATAAGCCCAGGTATAGCTGTGGTACCAGCTGCGGCCAGGGCACTAGGGGAGTCTGGTGGGTGCCCCATCTTTCCACCCTGCTGGTTTGGAGGAAGCGGCCCAGGAGGCTGAGTCAGCTGGGAGGGCGGCCCCTCCAGCCCTCTGCCTGGCAGCAACCAGTGCTGGGTCTGCCTGGGCAAGGAAGCAGCCTAGGGTGGCCAGGGGCGAGGGCTCTGCACGGCAGGAAGCTGGAGGGAGGGAGGCTCTGGACCCTGGCCAAAGCTCCAGTTTAGCTGCCCAGGTCCAGCCTCCTGGCCACCTCCCCACAGCCCCCAGCCCCAGCCAAGCAGGCAGGGCCTGGGCAGCCTAGTCCCTGCCTTCACCGGCCCTCAGAGCACCCTTGCCCCCATTGTAGGATGCCTCCTCCACCAGGAAGCCCTCTCCCTCCCTGCTTCTCTCTCCCGGGTCCTGGACCCTGGGCCCTGCCTGGGGGGTCCCATCTCATCCCTGGGGGTCTCATCTCTGCGGTCCCATCACTTCCTTGCCCCTACCCCAGGACCCACCACAGCTGGGGCCCACTATGGTTTCCAGCCATGCAGGTGGAGCATGCTCACTGCAGCCCCCAGGAACATGGAAGACCAGAGGGGTCTGCAGGGTCGTGGGGCGAGGAGCAGGGCTGGCTGTTGGGGGAGCTCACTGAGCAGGCCTCAGCTAAAGGTGCATTCCTGGCAGGGGCTCAGGACCACAGTGCCTGGGGACGAAGGTGAGGTGGGGGCAGGTAGGGGCAGGGCGCAGCTGGGAGCGGCCAGAACATTCCTCACACACTGACTCAGCCGCCGCCTGGACTCGCCCACCTGCCTGCCTCTGGCCACCCTTCGGCATGTGGGTGGGAAGGAGGGTGGGGTGGGTGCAGCTGCTGGCCCCTGTACCCGCCTTCCTGGGGCCTGGGGAGGGAGCACACCTGGATAGACTGGCTCCTCCCACCTACAGGCAGGGGAACCAGGGTGCCACATGGGGCCCACGGTGACCCCGGGCCCGGGGTGACTCCCCAGTTCAGCTCTTCCCTGACTCCACCCGCCCCGGAGAGAAGCAGCCGGCCAGGAGACTCTGTTCCTTCACGTCGGCGCCTCCCCTGCTTTGCCCACAAGAGCCTGGGGCCTTCTCGTCATGTCCAAGTCAGCCTGGCCTTAGGGGCCCAGTCCGGGCCCTCCCTTTGGGAATAAGCAGCTGTTCAGGCCAGATACCCTCACCTCTGCAGCCCCCCAGTCTGGGGCAGAGCAAGTAGACAGACAGAAAGGGACCCCACCCTGACTCCAGACACACACACACACACACACACACACGTGCACACACGCATACAGCATCAGTGCCCTACTCCTTGGCAGGCTGGGAGAGGCAGACGCACTCCCAGAACAGACCCAAACTCCCAGTGTTCAGAGGAGGGGGCTGCAGCTCAAAGAGGGGAGGGAGGGTCCAGGTTCCAGCCCCACACGCATGTTGTCCCTGTGAGGTCAGCAGGCCAGGTGTTTTATAGGCGAGTGGACCGAGGCTGGGAGCTCTAGTTTTGTGGCTTTGGAGGTCATCATGGCCCTGGAAGCCCAGCCTGTCCCCAGAGCAGAGGGGCCAGCAGTGTGGAGGGATTAGAGGTACAAAAGGAGATGCGGAGGTCAGGGCCAGCTTTCCAGGCTGCATCCTGTGCACAGGGCCCCATGCTCAGAGAGGTCCCTGCTTGATTTAATGCGTGCTGGGGCCATCTTGAAATTCTTAATTTTGGAACAAGACACTGCACATTTTCATTCTGCACTGGGCCTCACAAATGACAGAGCTGGTCCTGTTCGGGGGACCCCTTGCGTGAGTCACCTGCAGATGGAGTGTGGGTGTACTGGCCTCGGCAGCCCCTCGGCCCCTGGGGGACACTCCCAGGTGAGTTGGGCGTCCCACACGTGGCTGGCGGAGCGCCCCTACTGGTGGCTGATGGAATGGGCTGGGTCCACAGGGTCCCTGGAGCAGGACTGTGCCAGCCAGATTCAAACAGGCCACTGCCTCCTCCCCACGTGGAGTTTAAAGGCAACTTCTCCTTTTGAAATGTCAGAGCCTGTGTACGTGCTGAGATTAAAGTAGCTTCACTGGAGATTTTTATGGTTGAGATTCCGGATAAGTTGCCAATACAGAATCTGCATCTGTGAGTGCAGGCATGTGTGCGTGTGTGTGCACCCCTCCCCTGTGCCCCTGCTTTGCTGGCATCCCCCCCTCCTTTAGTCTAAGAACGGTCAGGGCGGGGAGATGAGAGCACCCCTGCAGTGATTTGCTGCAGCCGGCCAGCGGCACTCCTGGGCCAGCCTGGTGACCTTGTCCCCCGAGGAGCACAGGGGCCACCCAGAAGCTGTTCTGGAGTACCCCAGGACCCTGGGAGCGCTGGCTGCCGACACTGAGGGTCCCAAGGCCTGGGGAGGTGCGGGGTCCCTCTGGACCGCCGGGACCCGAAGGAGGTGCAGGTACAGCAGGCGTGTGGCCACCAGGTGGCGCCGTCCACCCCTCAGGACCCGGCCTCCCTCCCGGCTCCTGGGGACAGCGCCCTGGAGACCCTTGGGCGCTGGGGGTTCTCAGGTCTCCCGGCCCTGATCTGGGAATTCCCCACCCTCCCTGCCTGAGCCTCCGGGGCCACTCTCCCCGTTGTCTAGCTTTGGCTGTCCATCTCCTGTGGCCCTGCTGGGAAGACCTTCTCTGGGAGTTCACACCATGTTTTCCCAGGAAAGGGAGACGGGTCCTTCCTCCCTGGCCACCGCTCCAGGAGGCTCCTCAAGGCTCTGGAAGGCAGCTCCGCTCTCCCCACGAAGGTGGCTGCTCTGCTCCTGCAGCTGCCAAGCTGCTCCGCATCCCCATCCTGCTCGCCCTCCAAGGCCAGTGTGAGCCCATCTCTTCCAGGTAGCCCTCCCTGGTCACCCCAAGGACCTCCAGACCTGCCATGAGGTTTTGTGCTAAATCCCACCCCGTTGGAACCCCCAGCCCCCACCAGGCAGAACAGGGGTGAGCCCCTCCTTTCGACTTCTTGTTAGCCCAAGACCGGGCACTGTTTCAGGCTTGCTAATGCTTCCCTCTACGGTGAGTCTACATGGAATGCTTTCTGCTTCCGTGGGAGCACCTTTCCGTGGGCCCTTCCTCTGGAAAAGCAAGATTTCCCCGAGTGCGGGGGCTGGCAGCCCCCCAGGTGTAAAAGCTCTCACCTGACACCCACCGCTTCCTGTGGCCGGCCAGCCACCAGGCCTTCCTCTCACACACCCGGAGGCCGGTCCAGCTCTCGGACGGCACTGCCTCTGGTGACGGGGAACTCTCTCCTAGGGGAGGAGGGGTGCGGGGGGCAGGGCTGCAGGAGCCCCACCTTGTGGCCACAACTGCTGGCCCGTGAGAACTGGGCAACTCCCCGCGTTAGGAAGGTCTCCCCGAGGCGCAAAGGCCGAGCATCTGGGCTCCAGCCTGTTTCCAAGGGTCTCTTGGGGCTGGGGGCACCCTGAGCCCTACGCAGCTTTGCAGGAGGGGGTGATGGGCCCTTCAGGCTGGCCTTGGTGAGGGGCAGCAGGAGGCGGCCTGGCTGAACCTGGTTTGAGCAGGTTCTGCACGCCGGGAGGGGTCCTGAGGTGCAGGGCCGCCTGGCTTGGAAGAGGGCACCTCAGGTGCTGTGGGTCGTGGGGGAACTAAGTGTGAGGAGGGTAGGGGTCAGGTGGGGCTGCCCTGGGCAGTGTGGGGCAGGGGGCTCACAGAGAGCCTGGAGGGCCTGCTTGGCTCTGCCGCTGCCTCCGCTTCCAGCCCCAGGCACCCTCAGGCCATTCCCCTCCGTGCCTTTGGCTCCTACTGGACTAACCCAACCCCTTGAGTTCTTGGTTTCCTAATGAGCAACCCCCTTATCAGCTGGGTGAGTGGCCGGAAGTCCTCACTCCGATCTAACCTCAGTGCCTCTTGCTTCAGTTGGACCCACGAGCAGGGCCTATAGCCTAAGCTTCCCTCCCTCTGCTCTGGCTGGTCAGTCTGGTCTGGTCACTCTAATCAAATCCGTGACCCGGGCCTACCGTGGAGTGGCCACCCCAGGCCAGGGCGTTCCCTCAGAGCCTTTATCTGCTGCTGGTTAATGCTTAACGGGAAAACCTGTCCCAGCAGGGCCGGCCCTGTGGGGCTGGTCAGGCAGCACGTATGGAGGACATAGCCCAGGCCCTGAGGATGTTTTTGTGCCACAGCAGGGGGACGTGTGGGCACACGTGTGCACTTCTGGGCCCCTCCCTCCGGTCACACGTGGCCCTGGGCGTGTGGGGATGTGTATGTCCTTCTGGTGTTTGCACAGGGCAGGGGTCTGTCTCCTAGTCTGACCCCGTCTGGGATGAGAAGGGCCGGAGGCTGCCCTAGTGGGGCTTTTAGGCAAGCGAGGGGACACGTGCAGGGGGTGGCTCGACGCCGGCCCCAGGGTACAGCTGAGCTACGTGCCCCGCGCGCAGTTCTCTGCAGCCAGCTGTGTAGGGGCTTTGTACCTTCCCCAGTATATGGGCGCCTTCACGGCCAGACGGGCGTCTGAGGTTCCAGGGCAGGAAGGAGAAAACCAAACAGAGCTGGAGCCCGAGGCCAGCCCCGAGGCCCCGAGACGGCGGCTTGGCAGCCAGCAGCTTCGTGGAGACCCTGGTGGGGCTCCTGGACGGGGACGCTTCCTCTGAGGTCGCCTGGGGAATGCTTGAGGTTGGAATGCAAGGCGAACGCTGGTTCTGGGGAGCCAGGAATCACTGGCACACAAAGAGAAGTCTGCTGAGTGAGCGTGTGTTTGCCCGCCCACTCTGACTCCAGCTGCTGCGCCCCGCAGGGCTGAGGCACCCTCATCAACTGGGGCCTGGGATGGCTGGGGATGGGGAAGTTCAGCTTGCCATGGTTCTCTGTGGTTTGGGATGCCCCGTGCCCATTCTCTGTGTCTTAGCTTGTATGTGCCACACTCACCTTTCATGCATACTGTCTGTGCCTCTTCATCCCGGGAGGCTGTACCCCATCAACCAGGCATCTGGGGAGGCTGCACCCCATGATCTGAGCCTCCGGGGAGGCTGTACCCCATCACCGAGTCTCTGGGAGGCTCTGCTCCATCTTGGGCATTGGGACCTGCACCCCACTCCTCTGAACATGGCTGGTGCTGAATCCGTGGGCTCAATTCCTATCCTCTGAGAATTTGCCTCTGGATTTTGGCGATGAAAACCCCACGTCCTGAAGTGTCTGGGTGTCTTCCTGTCACCTGGAAGTCTGGGGGCATGTAACCCACTCCTCAAATGGCTGTTACCGCAGCCGCCGTGTCAGAGGACGGGAGTTCCCCGTGTCCTCCCTGCACTGACCTCATCTCCCAAGGGCCTTGGGGACCTCATGGCTGGGGCCCAATGCCCCACAGCTTTGTGTGGACCCCATTTACCTTGTCTGGGGGGGGTTTGTGTTCATCGGGAACCCTGGCATCAGAATCTCTACGCCCCACGCCTGAGAGTGCCTGGGGGACACAGTCTGGGGACCTGAGTGCCTGTGCAGCTCCCTCCCTCAT